ATATAGAAGAAAAAAAGAGAAATTATATGCAGAACACGTTCAAAAACAATCCCAAAAGAAAAAGTACTCGGATGGCAGTACCTTAACGATGGTAAAAACACTAATGAAAATAAAAATGTATATCATTATAAATCGGAAAGGGAAAGGATTTTTATATGCAGAATATGTTATTTTTTAAGTTTATCTATTTGTTATGGTATTTCTTTAATTGCATTTAAGCAGAATGGTGAGGAAAAGATATGTGATGATATTCTATATTAAGCACTTGAGGATAGTTATACTTTTAGAGAGGATAATAAGAAAGAGGTCATAGATGATTATTTTGACGAGAATTCTGATTCTGAATAGGAGAATATATATTTGTGCCTATACAAATAAAAATATATTTTAGAAATCATATTAAATAAGATGATTATAATAATCTATTTTCATAAAGTCTAATAAGTTAAGATATGCACAAATGATGTAAATTTTCTAAATAAGGACAGCAAAAAAAATATCAGTTTCATATCACGCAAAAATAATTGTAATATGTAAGTGTGTATTATATATGTAATATTTACTGTGTAATTTTATCATAATATCATGGTTATTCAGTGTACAAATATGTAAGTAATATATCATGAACATTTTTTAAAAAGACAATTGCCAAAAATAAAAGTTATTAAGAAAGTTTAAAAATAATTCGAATATCATTTTAGAAACAACAACATACCATTAACCAAAACGTCAAATTAAATAATTAAATCCTGAACTATAAATCACAAATCTGCATCTATGAATGATTTATTTTCTCTGTGCAACAATTTTTTTGTGCATACGGTAAGTTTATGTAGAAGATAATAATATTATTGAACTTTATATTGTATATTTATGCATTACTTCAAGGAATAGTTTGCGTAAATGAAGTATCACATACCACGTGCAAATAAATTATATTTTGAGAGTCATACTTTTATATTAATTATTATAAATAATGTATAATTAATTTATTTGATCAATACGTTAGTGCAGTGGTCAATTTATATAATTCACAGTTATAAAACAATTCTTGTCAACATTTAACAATGATAATTTTTGAAATCATATTAGAAAACCACATATTATATTTTATATTTGTGAAATATACTAAATGAGAAGCAGAGTTAACATAAATAAAAAAATAAAAATATATTTTTTTGTCAATTAACTGTAATAAGAAGCATCTACAATTAAGCTAATAAAATTTTTTGTATCATATTTTTGGTTCATGTACTTTCAAAATTGTAAATTATATAATGCAATTCACATTTGTATTCTAAAAATAAAAGAATAATATTTAATTTATTCCGTGGTTATTTAAAAAAAAAATAATATAATACTTTTTATAAAATATTATGCTTAATATTGCAAAAACTGCCCATGCAATATATTTTTATAAGATATACCCAATTTAAAATGATTATATTAGGATAGATAAAAAATAAGAATTTAATATATTATTCTTTATATTACGAATATAAAGAGGATCACAATTATAATATATGCATTTTTTTTTATCTTTATAATGCAATATTTATTATAAGCATTATTTTGCATCATATTATAAATATTTCATTTATAATATTGATGATATATCACTTTAATTGACATGAAGATTAATATAAAAAAATATATAAACGGCAAAATATTCTTGAATTAGACGCAATTAAAACAATAAATATATACAATAAACTTTATAATTCATATATTATGTTACGTGAAATAACTGTATTTATTAACATTTATATAATTTATAATAAAATATTAAAATAAGGAATTATTAATATTGAAAAAATATAAAATATTATACACCATAATACAAATTGTATTACATTCATATATATGTGAAATTTGTATTATCCCATTTCTACAGAAATATGAATTTATTATAATATAAATATTTTAAAAATTTAAATGTTGTTTAAATATAAATATATTTATATACAATTCTTATACAATAATTTACATGGTTCTTATAATTTATATAAAAATTACAAAATATGAAGACCTTGATATATATTCCTTATCATATTTATTTAAAAATGATGTTAACACCTGTATTAATATTTTATATGATTCTATGTATTTTTTTATAATTCAGAAGGATATATTATGCACTTAAAACTCATTACTATCCATTCTGTTATTTTAATTTATATATTTAAAATTATATATAATATTGTAAAAGTAATTGTATATATAAAATATATTTCAATTATTTGTGTATTAATAAAAAAAATACTTTCTAATATTATACATGAATTTCTATTATTAAAATAATTAGTTAATTAGTACAAGGTAGAAAAGTAGGATAGCTTTATATCTTGTATTAAAGTGTCATATTATTTTTATTAATCTAAAATCATTTTATATATGTTTTGCATATATTCGCTTAATAAAAACGGAAATACATTATCTAACACATTCTAATAATAATAAAATTTAAGCCTTATTATAATTAATCTCAAAATGTATATATGGCACATTGACATTAAGTATATAATTATAATAAAGCAATTCTTATTTATTTTCCATGATTCTTATGCTTATTTTTAAGAATATATTTATTGTTGTTTATAGATTTTATTATTTTGTTTAATTAGCCTGAAACCGAATACAAAATTTTCGGTAATGGAGAAGTCTATTGTATGTTTTAATTATTATAAAATAACTTACAGCCTTATTATGTTTGTAAATTCAAATGGTCAAATATATAATAAAATATAATTCAATACAATATATATACTGATTATCCATAATTATTTTTATTCTTCTCAGTATGCCATTTTAGAAAATTTTCCCAAATGCCTAGACATTATAGAAAAGAAACCTAAGAACGTAAGCACAGAAGATAAGAACCAATATAGCCCATGGGAAATAGAGTGTACGAACGAGGTTAATATAACTAAGTTAAGAAATGTTCATGTTGATAATAGAACTCCACAAGGTATATGCATACAAGTTATGGAATATTTAGGTGAAATTAATAATGATGAGGAACAAGCCTTAAAAGATGCGGGATGTGAATTTTTTTATTATTGGATATATTATGTTCTTTTTAATAATAATGAAAAAAAAATTAATGATATACAAAGCCAATATGAAGAACTTATCAATATATATAACAATGCCTATTTTAAAAAAAATATAAAAAGTCGATGTATTGGCTCTAAGAGACCTATTGAACATGATGATTTTAAAAAAATCTTAGAATTATCTAGTATATATAACTCAATATATAAAAACACTAAGCGAGATAAAAATGATGATATTTTTAAAGAAGTAATTAAAATAGTAAAGTTATATAATTCTAAATTAGAAAATAATCCAAGTAAAATTATAGAAATTGTAAAAGAGCCTTCTTGTAAAAATAGTAGCGGAGTTACAATAATAATTACCTTTGTTGTAACAATCATTGTTTTCCTTTCTTTATTTATTTTGTATAAGGTTGATTATTCTATTATTTATAAATATTTAGACTATTAAGTAATTTTTCTGATAATTTAAATAAATATTTCTTAAAAAAATACATATATATAATAAAAATATTTCTTCTTTTTATGAATTAGTTTACGATATTTGGTTCATTATGGCGCAACATAATAAACAGAAAAATAAGCAAATCTTATAGTATTAATGAAGAAAGGAATGTTTTTCAAGGATCTGAAATATACAGCGTTCTACCTAGTAGGAATGAGCATAATTTATTATACTTTTCTCCATAACTATACCTTTAAAAATATAATATTATGAATATATTTTCTTAAGGCACATATAAAAAGAAGCAAGAAACATGGAAGATTTTTCTCCTAATAGTTTTATAAAAAAATCATATATTTCATGTAATAAAATAATAATTTATATATGTTTTTCAATTAAATATGCAAACACTATAAAAAATTATTCGACAGCCTTAAAAAAAGTGAATAACATAAAACAATTGAATATAGTGATTTTATTGTTGTAATATAGAGTATGCTCTATAGATAATTTGTTTCTATGTTACAATATGGTCTATTATATATTAAATGTAATATAATATATATAGTAATGTAGGAATGTATATATATATATTAAATACTTATTAATATTGTATGTAAATATATAAAATTTATGAGTGTGCATTATGATATATTATTGTATAATATTAATGAAAATTACATTTATAATTAATATATAAATAAAAATGCTTTATAATTCTTATAAAAAGAATTGAGTTTCACAGTTAATGGTTTAGTACTCAATATATAATAGTTATTTTATGATAATAAATTTATTATGATTCTTAAAATTATTTTCCAGCATAAGTATTGCTTGTGATCTATATTCTTGGATAATATAAAGCTTTGGAATATTATATACATCCATTTTGTATTTTCTTTTGTTCATAGATTTTAATATTATCTTAGCCTATAATTTGCAATTGATAGGATATATATATATTATTCATGTTTATTCAATAGGAATAGATAATGTTTGTTATATTCATAAAACAATACATATATACATATTTAATTTTAATATAAAAATTATTTTTACGGAATGCATATTATTCTTATTGAATTGTTGCATGTATAATAACCTATATTATTTTAAACAATATAGTATATGAATGCTTAATATGCATTAAAAAAAAAAATAGTAATGTATAAATTTTATAATTTAATACATTACATTGTTATTTATATTTTTAGTTAATTAAAAATAATTATGCTATTAAACATAGATAATTTATTTATTTATCTATTTTGTATGATTATTGAATTAAAATTATATTTAAAGAA